CCACTGTCGTAATAAATATATCGCCTATTGTCATTAAACACCATCACATCAGTAACAACACCATACCACCTACCATCGCCTACACTGTCGTCATCACAATCATAAATACTTTCAACGTCGTAACCGTTACTACATCCACTCGATCGCCTGTCGTTCATTGATAAAAAGGAACAAACAAACAAGACGAATACAGCTCGACGTGTCGTTGTGCGCTTTTGTCGTCGAAATTTATAGAGACGGGATGAATTGAATGAAAAAGTGTAGTATTGTTTTGCGCAAACCATCTTGTGGACTTTTGATTGTTGATTAGCCAACACTGTTAACAATACTAATAAAGCTCTCCCGATGTTCTGCCGTCGTATGATGGGCGCGCGGGCTAATGGTGGAGAGGGAGGTACGCGGTCTTAATCGTTTGTATGTATGTCGCGTAGGGTACATCTTTTCCCGGGGGACCCGCATTTTTATTTATTTATTTATTTGAAGTGTTTTGACTGCCACGCCGACGGGAGCGGCCGCTAGGGCGCTCTCGCCGTCGCGGCTACATTTTAAATTTATTTATTTATTTACTTGTTTTTATTTATGCGCCCTTTACACGCGGGGACTTTATTTGTTTTAATTATTAATGTTTTATTTTAATAGTTTGACTGCGGCGGTGGCAATTGCGACGGTCGCCATCGTCCCCGCGGCTGCACATTTTAAACTTTTATTATTTTATTATATATATTTATTTATTTTATATATTTTTTATTGTATTTTATGTATTATTTATTTTTTAGTGTGTTGCGTGTTGTCATATTTATTTATTTATTCTACGGCGGGTCCTGCGTTCCGGAGGGGGCGTGTCATCGGATGCGTATGTCGCGGATGTTGGTGCAACTGTGTATTGTATACATGTACTTATGTCCAGTGTTTAAATGTACGTAAGGATGGATGCCGCGAATAGGGTTAAGTTTAAACAGATAAATGTGTTGTGCGCATACCCCACGTGCGGTGGGGTAAACATGTATTTTATTTTTGTATATATCTACACTGTTTAATTAGTATCTTAATCTTGGTAGGATGAGTTGATACATTGGAGCAGCCTACTAGCCGTCCCAATATTATTAATTAGTCTATATATATATATATATATATATATATATATATATATATATATATATATATATATATATATATATATATA